GGTTCCAACATTGCATTGAGACAGAGTTGATCTTAGAAATGTTTGCTAAACGATTTTCTTTTAAATAAAATGGATTGCTGTTTTTATTACGAAGTTCAAATGCATGCTTAGCGTTTCAGCTTGGGGAAAGGAAATATCAGACAAGCATTCATGACCAAGTTCTACCAATCAAAGCAAGTTGTATCAACATTCTGGTGTATTTTTTTTCCTATTTCTAAAATGTATTTTAAAATTTACTTGTGACTTCTTGTTTTAGTTTTATGCAGTTGAGCTTATACTTTGGGCACAATTCTATGTATTTCGAACTACATAACATCTTTTAAAATCTTCTCATGCTTTTTAAATCCTGTATTTGGTAAACAGATATACTGCAGTGACTTATGCATTTTATTGTTATTAGAGAGTTAAGGTCTTTCCCTGACCACAATTCATTGACAGAAATAATGATTTGGTAAGTAACGTTTGTATTAAATTTTGAGAGATGGTTTGGTTATTTCCTTAATATTCCAAGGAGAATGCTGAAATCCAAGAATCTAGAGAGTTCTGTGTCTCTGGGCAGTTACTGGCTGTCCATATGCCTGACTTCCATCCACGCTGTGGGTTTTCTTGGGGGAAAGCAGGTGTGTGTCCCCCAGGTGGATTTCCTGTGAATCAGTAAATTTCCCAGGTGATGTGCCTATCTGGCACTCAGCTGTGCTAATCTTACCAGGGATGCAGTTCAAGTTCCTGGGCCTGGAAGGCCCCTGCCCGTCTGGAACCGAGACAGAAGGGGACAGGAGCCCGTGTCAGCGAAATTAAAAAAGGCTGAATGCAGAGAACAGGGAGAGACCAGCTAAACTTTGGGTCAGCTGGTTGCGCCAGCCTTTTGGTGTAAATTGTTCTGCAGCTGAAGATGCTCCTCAGAAGGCTCTAGGACTGGCTTGCCGTGCTGGGGGAGAGCTCAGAATTCTCGGCCTGGGTTGCTGAGATGGGGTCTTCAGAGCTGGTTCTGGGGAATCTTGTCTGGTGTGGCCTGGATTTGAAGGACTCTGTGATGCAGTGGTTGGCTCTTTTGCTTCTATCCCTTCAAACCTGCTCATGGGCACACTGAGAGATCTTTGAATGATTTAGGAACAGTTCAGGATGTGGTCCTGTTTCTTAAATGGGGATCTAGACAATAACTGTTATTTAAAGCAGAAGTCTCAATAAATCACAGTGACCACCAACCCTTTGACTCAGAGATTAAAATTTTAGAGATTAATTCTAAAGAAGAGCAATACTTGAGAGTGGACTGTTGAGAAGTATTTTGTGATTGTGTGTGTGTGTGTGTGTGTGTGTGCACACGTGCGCCTGTGTATGTTTAGGCATCAGGAGTTTCAGACTCTCCAAACTGCATTCACATGCTAATGGAGAAATTCTGCTCTTAAAAGCAAACAACTTAATAATACTTAACCTCAAATCCTTCCAGCCCTGGTCACTGGCTTTTGTTTTTGTGTGGATGTCTATTTGTGTCCCCCCAACACAGAGGAATAAAGTGGAACCACAATATCTCGAGTCAGAGGGCAAGGCCCTCTAGCTACCATGACATACTAGTGTAGGGAAAACGTAGTTGACTTAAACAATATAAAATATTTGAGGGGTGTGATTCCATTTCTGTTCAACCAACATTTGTGTTATCGGTCCATATAAATTACTGAGGTACGGGTGACTCTTTGCCCTTAGTGCTTACCTATATTCCCACACTTTCTATAATGAAAGTAAACTCTAATACTTTTATTTTTTATTTTTTGTTGTTGTTGATGGATCTTTATTTTATTTATTTTTATGTGGTGCTGAGAATCAAACCCAGTGCCTCACACATGCTAGGCAAGCACATTACCACTAAGCTACTATCCCAGTCCCTCTAATACTTTTAAAAAGTAAGAAATTTTAAGAAAAAGAAAAATGTACCAGTGATCCTAAACATGCCCGGTTATCTCACTGAGTGTTACAGTCCTGCTGTGAGCAGTTCAGGGTGCAGTGACGGATCTAGAAAGTTCTCTTAGTTTGACATATAGACAGGAATAAAATAGCTTTGAAGATCTATCTACAGGAACAGGTTGGGAGGTTTCAGGGCTGTGTGGCACAGAGTAAAATACATTTGAGAAACAAAAGGAGGTAGATTTATTTTTCTTTTGAATAGCCTTTTGCTTGTCTGAATTGCCTTTCAGCGCTGTGTGTGTACAAACACCATCTCCCTGTGACTTCGACCAGGTGAGCATTCAATAAGAGGCTTCCCTCCGCTGGGGTTTGACTTTCTGCCAAGGTTGAATAACAAACTCCAATTGTTCAACTCCTCACCTCTCCACCCCGGTGCACCCACATTAACCTTGAGCATTCACACTGGCTTTTGCAAAACCTGGCGTTGAATATATGACAAGCCCCATCCTACATTCCTTTTATGATTGCTGGCAGAAAAAACTTGAACTCAATGATCAGCGCAAGTATCTCTTTATTTATCCATCTGATCCCTGCTAATGTAAAGTCTAAACAATGTATAATTAGAAAAGTAAAATAAGACACCCCATGCTGTAAACGTTTATACTCATTAAAGACCTTGTATGAAATAGTTACAAAAAATATCAGCAGCATCGACAAAACTGTTGAGTAGAGAGACATCCTGGGTGTTGGCAGCAGTCTCTTAGAATCTGATGATAACATACTATCTTAAATAATTTCTAAAGTTGTGTGGTGCTCTATTGGGGGGAAACAATTAAAAGCATGCCACCTATAGAAAATAAAAAAATACTAAGAAAAATATCAAAACAATCCACCAGCAGTCTCAATGAGAGCAAGGTCACTGTGACTCACTGTGACTCTCCAATTATAGCACCATGCGCTGGCTTCATCAATAATATTGCAGAGAAAGGGCTTGACCACATCTCACTCTGGCTTTTACCTTCAATCCAGGCAAATGCATTGATAAGGCTCAAGACTCTGGAGAGCAAAGCTTCACCACTTGGCCTGGATGGGTACTTGTGACCTCAAAAGCATTGATACTGATACATAAAGGCAGGCGGAGGAAAGGCCTGTGTCCTCATTTGGTCTGGTCAGAAAGAAATTTCCCTTAGGAGTCACAAGGCATTTGCTCAGGAAGTTGAAAGGAAGAGGTTCCTCTTGGGACTTCCATCAAGGGACACCCTGTGATGGAGGTTAGAAGAGGAGAATCCTGTACACATGGTACAGTGAGGTTGGTCTCCCTGGAAGTGTTATGCAGGGTGGACCGCAGATCCTCCCTTCAGCAGCAGCACCTGATATAGGGAATGGAGGAGGGGTGTGTGTGCAGCTGTGCTTAACAATACAGGGCAATAAGAACAAAAATGCTCCTGGTGAAAGGATGTGTTGCACTGGCCAAAGCCCAGCCAGACCCATTTTGGTTCCCTTCCTCACCCATCTGAGTGGGATCCAGGGCACATCTCTGGTCCTCGCAGAATTGTTTTCTTTAAAATAGACCAACCACACTCAGGTCACTCCGACTGTATCCTCCTGAAGATGAAGGCTGCGGCTGGGGTTTACTACAGTTAACTTTAAATGCTCACCTCCAGAGCAAAATGGACTCACCTGCCCCCAGGAAACAGAGGTCACTAACCTCCATGGGACAGCTTCCTGGGTGCCCAGGGCTCATCTGGAAAGTAGGCACTTTGCAGCTCATCTCTTTGATAGTCTAATAAAGAACTGCCTGACCCTGCATCTGCAGCGAGAGCTGCCTTTCTGTGGTCTGTGGAATTCACTCTGCAGTTGAGGGGGCCGCCTGCCCCGATGGAGAGCAGGGGGAGCCGTAAAAGTGTCAGAGCAATAGGGACGCCTGGAGGTGGGGGCCTGTTGTCTGTGCTGGGCAGTGAGGGGGGACTGATGGGGTGCGGGCTGTCGGCAGTGTACAATCTCCCTCCATCTGTGCAGGGGGGGATGAGGACAGAGAGCAGAACCAGAAACCAGCTGGCTGCTCCAGCCATCCCGGGGAGAAGCAGTGTCCAAAGGCCCTGATGAGATCACCTCTTGTCCCCAGGGATCCCTTCTCTCCATTCCAAAGTACAACATGCATGCGAGGTTTAATCCCAAGCCATCGGTGAGGTGGGTCCGAATTCACCTTCTTAGAGAATGACCTGATTTCTGTGGCTGTAAGCTAGCAGCAGTCTGTGTATTAATTTGACTGTTTTTATAGGTCTTTTGCATGCAGTGTTAAGCACGCGGCTCCACCATCTAATTAAGAGGGACCCTGATCAATTTGCAGGATAGTTGCCTACAGGAAAAAAAAAAAAAAAAAATATATATATATATATATATATATATATATGTAATAAAGACACTTCACTGAATCCTCCATTCCTAAGAGGTAAGCATCAATCAAAGAATGAGACTATCACAATTCATCACTGATCTTGCAAACAGGTTGAAACATATACATGAGGGACTTGTGGAGGAGTCCTGGCTTTGAGAACCATCCTTGGTTCCCTCCCAGTTCGCTTTCTGGAATTAAATAGCAGAGAAACTTTCTGAGGACTGGATGCAAGAGACAGTCATGCCCGGGACTTGCCCTCTAGCACGCCGACCTGACCTGGCTATCATTTCATCCTGGTCTGGATAAGGTGGGCTTCTTTTTTGGGTTCCAACAGAAGTGATGGAAAGAGCCCACAGGAAGTAGGACCACCAGATGTGGCTCAGAGTGTGGGCTGTCCAGCTGGAGGGTGGTGGACGACATGGCAGGTGTGGACAGCCCAGCCCGGACCCTGCCCTTCCATTGCTGAGCGGCCTTGAACCAACTGGGCTAGACTATTGACTTGAAAGAATGCTGTGCCCAGGGGAAGCCACGTGGACCACCGGGACCATGCAATGAGTTTCGGTTAAAATCCTGCTTCTACAGCTGGGCAACCCTCAGGATGAAATGACCCTTCCTACGCCTGTAGAGCTGGTCTGCAGATGCCCTCTCCATTGAGTTCCTTTTAAAGATTGAAAAAAAAAAATCAATCAAGTGTATGAAAATAGTTCTCATGCAGCGCAGGCTTGCTGTGAGTACCAGCCTCCCTCCATGGACTGTCCTTTTAGAATCTAACTTTAAACTTTCTGAGATCAGGTCTCAATCCTCCTGCACAAAATGCACCCATTAACAGTACGATGCTCCCTGAGATCCTTGGTTGACTCTTTGTCTTGGAGGTGAAGTCAGCAGCTCCTGACGCCTTTTTCTGATGATACGGGATAGGATCCTATTTCAGCCAGCTTTTTTGCTTCTGTGACTCAAAGACCCCACCAACACGACGGGAGGGGAGGAGAAGTTTATTCAGGAGCTCAGTTTGGGAGGTCTGAGTTCATAGAAGGCCAGCTCCGTTTCTCAGGGCTTGAGGTGGGGCTGAAGATGATGGCGGAAGAGTGTGGCAGAGGGAAGCAGCACACATCATGGTGACCAGAAGGAAGCAGAGAGAGCTCTCCCCTCTCCAGATACAAAGCCACGCCCCCAAGTCCCACCTCCTCCAGCCACCCCACCCCCCACTTCAGTTACCACTCAGTTAATCCCTATCAGGGGATGAAATCACTGATTGGGTTAAGACCCTCACGACCCAATCATTTCTCCTCTGAACCTTCTTGCACTGTCCCACACATGAGCTTTGGGGGGACACCTCGCATCCCAACAGGTTGCAGACTGTAATATTTTCTGGCTCCCAACTTACAACGACCACTTGCCTGACGCTGACTACCACTTGTCAGGCTGGTCTGGTTCAAATATCTATTTCAAAAACCACCCCCAAAGCAAATTAAAATCAGGGATGTCTTGTTTTTCCCTGTGGTCACATTAGTTTTGCCTCTGGAAAAAATGGGGGAAAAATAGCTCTTGAGCAGAATATCAGGGACAGCCAAGGTACTGTGCCGCACCCCCAGGTGAAAATCCAGAGAACCAGCATTCAAATCTGGAGGCTCCCAGTCCTCTCAGCCTTCGCCAATGGAATCTTCTGGGGCAGACTGTTGAAGTCTCCAAAGCCCAACCCTGTCAGGGCCGTTTGATGACCTGGTTGAGGACAGGCCACTATTTTTTTTTTTTTTGGTCTTCTGACCTAGTTTCTTAAGTAAACTGAATGTGAGCTTTTGCATCATTTTGCTTTTTAAACTAATATCAGATGCAGACGTGAAGAAAATTCCGATCCTGAGGTCAGCAGTAGTGGAAGTAAAATGAACCATGCCATAGAGCAGAAATGGTGTTCTCCACACCAAGCAAAGAAGGAAGAAGCCCAGCTCACTGGATTCAAATGTGGCTTTTCTTATCTGTGTATGAGCAGCTATCTAGTTTTCAGGCATCTACCTGCCTATCTGACTATCTATTGGCCCACCCCAAACCACTGATAAAAGGAAGAATAATATTGCAAAAGGAAGAAAGCAGAAAAGAAAGTATCGTCTAGATGTTTAAGATAACTACCTAGAGATATACACAGACAAAACACATAAAAAAAAGTCTAAGGTCTGCTAAGACTTAGTTGATAAGATTAGACATGTCAGAAATCCCAGAAATAATACTCTAGTTTAACAGTTGGAAAAGTCTCACCATAAAGATAGGCCATTATTAGTGAATACTCATGCAGGTTTTTCATACATTGAAAAGGATCTTTGGCTGAGTAATGGGAAAGTCAATGTAGGCACGGGGCCATTTATTCACTCAACAAACAATGGCTAAGCACTCTGTTTAACACCCTGAAACACAGAGAAGAAAGTGCATTGTGTTGTCCCAGAGCTCGGACAAGGGACAGAAATCAGATCCATAAAATGATCATCCAGGGACCCCCGTGCAACTGCAGGGCAAGGTTACTTCCGACTCTACCTAATGGCCTGGGGGTTTCCGTTACGGGGAATGGAAATGGGGAGGGCCTCTCCTAGAGCGGTGCCATGGAGACCTCGGTAAAAAACGGAGCCACACAATGATGACAGCTCTGTTAGGGTTGAACACAAGGACTGTGGGGTCAGAGAAGAGAGCACCCAGTGTGGACCCAGTCAGACTCAGCCTCATGGGTGGGACTGAGATACCAGTACAACTTCCCATCCAAGGTAACATTGAGCCGGGTGCGGTGGCGCACATCTGTCATCCCAGCAGCTTGGGAGGCAGGAGGATCGCAAGTTCAAAGCCAGCCTCAGCAATAGCAAGGTGCTAAGCAACTCAGTGAGACCCTGTCTCTAAATAAAATACAAAATAGGGCTGGGGATGTGGCTCAGTGGTTGAGTGCCCCTGAGTCCAATCCCTGGTACCAAAAAAAAAGTAACATTGATCTTTCAAAAATAGGCAAGCAGATGCAAGACTACTGATTGCAGACTTGCCAGGCTCCAAACACCTTCCTGGGGAAACAACCTCTGCATATTCAAAGCCCCAGTGACTCTTTACACACTGACCTTGGCTGAAGGCCCATGTCCCTTCACACTTGGGGGCCACACAGTGTTCCGCAGGGACTGCCAATTGTGAGACCTATTTGTGAGCCAATAAGCATTGATAGTTCAGCACAGACCACACAATTAATTTCATTTTTGCCCTCAGCCAGATTACAAACAAAAGCCCCAGAGACGACTGGGAAATTAATTTATTAAAAAGCAATAGCCTGATAATACACATGATGATAGAAGAAATGAATATGCTCAATATCTTATAAAACAGTTGGCAATCACATAATAGAGTATTCATTGTCAATTTAGTAGCTTGTCTCATTATGCTCAGCAAATAGTTGTAAAATAGTGTATTATTCATGAACCAACATGCTTTAATTACTTTTAGTGCACATTTATTTTTCAAATGCAATATGATGAGATTCATCTATAAAAGCAGCCCATTTTGCTAAAGTCTGCTATAAGACCCTCCCAACGAAGGAACCCTAGGTTGCATTTCTCAGGCTTGGAAATACAAACCAAATACAAACCAAATTCATGAAAGAGGGTTTTGCAGCTATGGCCTCCAGCTATTGGACTCCACCCAGTGCCCAGGGCAGTCTGAACTGAGGTGGTAGGACGTGATTCAACTAACTGATTCTCTTTGTAACCCTGGCCACAACTTCCTTCACCATGCGGTATGAGCAGACAGACAAGCAGAGGCTTGGAATGCTCTGGCATTACTGGATGTTTCCTCTTACACTCCTGTGATTCTTTAGGAATGCAATATCTCTCCAGGAGACCACTAGCACCAGGAAGATGAGAAACCTATTGAGTAGCCGTGGGCCCAATCCATAGCCT